CTTACGTTTGCGCAAGTACGATAAAATTAAATCAATAAGACAGTAGTGTTTTGCGATACCGTGAAACGCGTTTGGGGTTTCAATCACGCGAGAGAAGATAAACATTTTACAAAAATTATGTAAGCTGCAAAACCTTTGCCACGAATCTTCACGTTGCTCGTTATACTACAGATCTATTTTAAATTTGCGTTAAAAAAGTAGCTATTTTAGGAAAACGCTTTTTTCCCTCTTCAATTTCGTAGCTAAGGCACAGCTATTCTATTTATGAAAGAAATAAATTCAAAAGGTATGCGAAGCCTTCTTGAACCATTAAATCGCTCTCGGCATGATGAATAACCCAGAAAGTCTTTGAATTCGGTTGTCCAAAGCAATTATTTTTACATTGAGAAATGAAATTTGATTCCGTAAAGGTATACCATTTTTCATGAAATTATGTGATTTGTAAAATAAAAAAATTATGCTATAACGTCGTCGCTTCGATTAAACTTGTACATTTGAATTTAAAATATATGTTTATCAAGTTCCAAAATGATTATGACAACGAAACAGATTAATCAGTGGTAAATGAATACGTCTCGAATTTGTCAATGACCAATCATTTCTAATCTCTTTATATGAAAGCTTCGTTAACTATAGTCACATTTATTAATGAAAGTAATCTACAATATTAATCAGAAAATCTATAATAAAAAAATATATTTTTAAGCAAATTTTAAGAAAATTATTTTTAAATGTCATTAGTTGTGAACATTTTTTTTTGATGATGCGACAAGTACCGAGGCATGTATGATAGTGGCACTTGTTACACGCCAAAAATAAACATGTAGGTCTGAAGAGAGTTTTTAGCCAATACAAGATTTAACCTGCTACTGAATTATTTGCGCGCCGCTTCATTGTATAACACATGAACGTACGTGATTCATGCAGTGGTTGTACGTATCCGAAGGAATTCTTTGCTAACCGACTTGTGCTTTAAGCGCGTATATTACGCTTGTGGAGACAGATTTTAGTTTAAGTAATGAGACGACGATGGATCGCGCGTGTACATGTATACCAAGAAAGTGAGTATATAGAATCTGGGAAAGATTGAATTGTTTCAATGACTACGTCTACTTAGACGCTCTGCTGCACCTATCGAAGGTAAAATAGGTCCGTTTGCTATTTATTTCACGCGATTTGTAAATACAAAATATTCATATCTTTCATCTATCAAATATTTGATCGAACGAAACATAAATGATTAAAATATTTCTTGCTTCTACGGTATTTTTCTTTTTTTGTAAACAAATAAAAGTCGTGGATGGTAAATAATATATTCTTGAATAGCTGAAAAATTATATACATTTAATTGAAATAATAACACTTGAAGCTAATAATAAAACAAAAATTGATTTTAAAACGATAGTTACTCGTCAACAGATTCACGAATACTCATCACTTGATAAAATTATGATTTGTGACAAAACAATAAATTTAATGATTCTTTATTGTTTGATAAAATACCAAAACTGTCGCAGTACAAAATACACAATATCAGACTGTCATTTGTACAAAATTTATCTTTATCTTTTAAAAACTTATAGAATAATTTAACGATAATAATGTAACGATAAATTACTACCAAATAGATGTATTCGTGAGATTTATACGATTTTCCTAAAACGATTTACGCAATAAGAGAAAAAAAACGTACTTTTTACTGTTGGAAACAGTAGTTTTGGTTGTTGGGTCAGCAATAATTACTATTTAATCAATAAAAGTTTGCTGAAAAATTGTAAAGAGTACCTTTACGTCATCAGTTTACAGTGCTTGCAGAGTAATTTTCATAAATTTTTTTCTTCTTTCAGTACAGTACAACATAAGGGTTTGAAGTTATAGCTTTAAAAAATCTACGGAATAAACAACTTGACGAAATCTGCACTAAAATCGACGCCATTACAAACGTATACCACACACATACCAAACCAAAACTCCCGCACCCATTGATTCGCGTACTAACAAGACGAACAGTATATTGGTAGATATACATCCACGTATTGCGCAGAAATACCGAAGAACAAACGAAAACTCACTCTTTACACGCGGAGGCCATTTTTTCCAAGAAGAATAATTTCTCGCACCGCTCGCGTATACCCACGCGTGTAATATATATGTACACGTAAGTTCAAGTGCGTGTATATATGAGCGAGAGAATCGTATAGACGTATAACATCGCGCTATGAATTGCAAATACCATGTGCTCGAACGGAATCTCGCGAGCGAGCCATTACCTCGGTACTATTGAGGTAAACACTCGTGCAAGCATAACATAAGATATTGTCGCTTCGGAATTCAAATTGTTAAAGAGCTCGTAACTAGTGTTTAGAATTTTTTTTCTTCTTTTCGTAATTTTCTATTTTGCTTTGGGATGGCAAAATAATAAAAAAAACAACTTAAAATAATGTACATGTCACAACAGAACGATCCTTAGCGACCTTGGACGAACGGAGTACAAAGTGGAGCGTTATCTAATAAGTTGATTGTGGAGTGCATAATACATGTACACATACACAAGCACACGATGATATCATCATCATCATCATCATCATCATCATCATCATCATCATCATCATCATCATCATCGACCACCATGCAAGGTAATATAATAAATGTACATTTCTGTATGCGTCACGAAGTCAAAATATAATAAGGTTGTTAATATTTACCCAGCAGGATCTCAATTTTTTAAGGAACAATATTTTCCGATACATGATCGCGTAAAACAAATTGACGAGCAGCACGCAATAGCTTTCGAACATTTTGCCGGGAGAGCGCACGCACAAACAAAAAAAACAAAAAACAAAAAATTTAATATTGTACGACTTTTACCGATCACCAGACGCGTTCGTGTCATCAGCACATTTTGAGAGCAGACACGCGCGATTTCGCTTTACCTCCGCTGCCATCACTGCACAGGCTTTTCCGACTTGTTTCGAAAAGACGGGCATATACCTATATGTGTATATGGTAGTGACAAATTTATTCGAGTCGAGTGGTGGTGTCGATGGGACACACGCGCGCAGAAATCAATGGAGGCATATCACCGCAAGTAGGTGTGTATACTTACTGTAATGTATACGCTCTCGGGGTTTGATGAGTTCACGTGGTGTCTCACATTATCGCCGCGGCATGCTAATGTAGAGCGAAAGACGCGATTTTCCGAGCTAAGCGACACACCGTAAGTTGTTGCGGGCTTGTGCAGCGAGCAAGTAAGTTAATCCGAAAAAACGTGCCGCATTCCGATCCACTTTTCCATGTAACAAAAGTTGACGGAGTACTTATTGCGTGGATTTACCTGCTGCTGTTGTACATACGGAAAGACTCCAGTGACTGGAGCCGAGAGAAACCGTAACCGCGTAGTAGTTTTCTCGCTCTCGGCGAGTGATGCAACAGCTTCCTCGGAGATCGCTTTCTTGCTTGCAGTATAACGTTCCGTTTTCCCTATTTTTTTTTTTCTCTTTTTTTCGTATGATCTGTACACACACTTGTAAAGGATATGATATAGAAGAGAGACCAACACGCCCCGGTTGTGGTGCAAAAGCGGCAGCTGCAGGGGAGAGTCGAAATTTGGTACAAGATAGCGATTCCATAAATATTTACCCAACGAAGCTCGAGATATGATACTCCGACAAATCGAGCCTGTAATAATTTTTTTAGTTTATTTTTGTTACGTTGATCGCACTTTTTTTTTCGATAGAAAAATAAAAAAATTCTTAGGTGTTTAAGAATACAAAAAACTATTTTCAAACATTTCGTCGCTTTGGAATTAAAAAAATAAATAAAAACAAAAATAACCGAGAATCGCGGTTGGTAGTTCTTTTTTTTTTCTTGTACTTTTCGTGACGTAATAGATTATGTGCGTTGCTTTTTTTTTTTTTTTTTTTTTTCAACATTCGCTGCTTTGACTTGCAGGCTTTGCTTTATACATATACTGCAATATATATCTTCAAGGGAGGTATACATGAAAATGATTCCACAGCTTGTTTATTCAAATTATTATTTACCTTATCCTCTACTTTCGTGAAAAAACGTCACTTGCGAGAAAACGAGAATGAAAAGTGTAAGTTGTGCTGGATGTTTTAAATTAAAGAATATATTCATTTCAAACTTAGTGCAGAAGTATCAGTTCTTCAACAGGCCTTTTTTGGGGTTTTATCTACTTTTCAAATAAAAACTAAAAACTTGAATGAACATGGCACGAAATTTTGTTGCCACCCAACAAAACGTATAAATTAAAAACAGGGTACTACTTAAAATATAATGCTGACCCTACTCAGGAAGATCTATCATTGGTACTACCAGCAATAAATTTTCTCTTACTATAAGTAACTTAACTCATGTGTCACACACATTTTAGATTCAAAAATAAGTTATGTACTAGTTGATAGAATTGAAAGTAACTCAGTCCTAATCGGATATTGGCACATGCACGTCAATGTAAAACTTGGATTTTTACTACGGACGACGAGGACACATCCTGCAGTAAAATTAAAAATTCACCTAGCACTGCACAATCTTGAATCCTTAACCAAATTCGAAAGTCTACAGCTGCAAGCCCTGAATTTGGGGCACTCATAATCAAAATCACACCAATGACATTACTACCAAATTTTATCGATGAAACTCTATCATTCACACATGAAGCATAAGTATACATTAACAATAAAATAAAAAAAAACCAAAAAAGTCAGTTATCAAGGGACGTGACAAGTTACTGGAAACTGTCAGAAAAAAATTCTACTCCAATCCACGTCTACCCACCTAAAAATGGAACCAAAATTGGTCTAAAAATTTGATTCAACTTTCAACAACTCAGTGATAATTGCGTCATTTTTCAATGCAATAATTTAATCAATGTTAAAGAGTCAATAGAGAAAAAAAAGAAAAAAATCAAACAATACACACAATCGTAACAACAAGATACAAGTGAAGCTAACATAATGAAAGGCACAACGATTCACCTTGGACACTTTTTTGCCCTCGACGACGCTGGCATTGTTTAGACTAGGCAAGGTGTTCTCCTCATCGGTTGTCTGCTGCTGCTGGCTACTGTTACTGCTGCCACTGCAGTTCGTCTCGGGTGGGACGGCTGCACTCGCAGACGACGATGACGAGGAGTCCGTAGCACTGGCGGTAGCGTTCGCAGCGTCAGCAGTAGCAGACGAGTCACTCTTACTGGACGAAGAGGAGTCGACGGGCTCCTGGCGCTGCTGATCCGGTAGTGGTGCCATGTTAACACACGAAGGAGCAACTGCGGCTTCAGTCAAGCCTCACTACCTTCCTGTCATATTTGGGACGGTACAACCTACGATATTCTCCTATCCTGTCGGTGAAAGCCCACCGCTGGTCGTGCTCGGCATCCTGATACTATATCTGTAAACTGGCGGCTGACGACGTAGCGATAACTATAGCGGCACGCCGGCTCCGTTGGTGCTTTTTTCTGGCGAGGGAGCCAAGGTCATTGAAGTGGCTCTCTCCCTCTGTCTACAACAGCTTCGAAATTCGACGGATTACGACGCACCTATGCTTATTTCTTACTCTCTTAACACATATACCCACGAACAAAATTACGCACAATTGCTACGCTGTCCACTTTTTCTTCTACGTCCCTCTCGTAGATGATGGAAACAGACGACGACGACGCGCACACGCGCACAACCTAACCTCACTCTCACTGCTGTTCCTCTCTTGCAGTGGCCATAGACTTGTTCTTTGAGCACTGGCTACAAAAATTTAATACCTGGTTTACACGCAACAGAGTTCGAGTACAGCTCCGAGGATTGTCGTCTGTTCATCACTGTTGACATTTAATACGCACGACACTTTAGTACATATATATCTACAACAAACGGATAATACGTATATGTATAACTGACAGCAGCCACTGCAGCCGTTCAGACTGCAGAGAGTATAGGATATGGGGCTCTTATATGTTGTACAATGTACACGCGCATAGGCACGCACAAGTATAGCTACGGTCGTCCTCGTCCTCGTCGTCGGCACTCCTTGGTTCTCCTAATGCTTTTACATACTGCACGCAGACAACAGCAGCACGAGCTACAGGAGCTATATGCAAAGAAGAGTAAAACTTGGTGCACAGACAGAGAGATAAGCAAGTGGATGCAGTGTCGTACGATCGGTGCTCCCGCACGCGCTTTTTCCGCGTTCTCGTCTTCGCTGCAGCAGTGACACGGAACTATATATTGCACTTTGGCAGCGTTTGGCCCCCTATAAGTACGCGCCCCAAGGAGAGACACGGAAAATCACTCACTATAAAGGCGAGCTTGACGCTTGCGATCACCACCTTGGCCGATGGTTATATTGCGTGGCTATATACACTTTATGCGTACACACCTGTACGCAACAATCACTGTACCTACTTATAAGTATACCTACTTTCTTCGTACGTCGTCGCTGACAATTTTTATTTTTTCTTTCAGTCACTACTTAAGTACTATATCTGCTTCTTTGCACGGGGATTTGGTGAGAGAAACAGTTATAGATCGCCCCGAGGACGAGGAGGAAAGGAGGAGCAGCCGTCGCGCAGCAGCACACACTACTAACACGTATATATAGGTGTGTGCTTAAGGTATATTATATACATTTTTTTGCCTCTTCCATAAAGTACGGAACACTAGCTTGTATATACTGCAAACGGCAGCGCTGCTCACTGGCCAAATCACGAATGTTTAAAATCAAAATGGCCACAGGCGCCAAGCGGAACAATGAATCTGCAGGCAACCGAGATGAGCTTCGGAGCTTTTAAAGCTTACACTGATACAGCCATTATCTTCAACGGTGTAGAGCTTTTGGAGTTTTTCTCCCCATCTCTACTCAACTTTTAACTTTCAGAGCTTTCGCGCACGTATATATATCTGACGTACCAGCGTCAAACCGCTTTGTGCTTGCGGATCTTCTTTTGCGAACTCTACTTTACCGGGAGTATACATACGACGACCTGAGCTAGTGTGCCTCGCTGCATTTTCGCGTGAGTCAGAGGTGTCGCCGTTCTCCCACCCTCGCGTAGAACACACAATGTGGGCCGAAAGCTCAGTCGTTCGCGCGACGGATGGATGAACTTGGTATTTTTCAAAGCTCGCTCAAAGTTTATCGAGAGCACGCGCTTACAGCCACCTCCCCCCCCCTCACTCTCTCTTTCTTTTTCATGGCAGGTGATGACGTTGCGCGTATACACCACCGGGCGGTGACCGGCGAACGAGGCTAGAATGTGGGTCGTACAACCTATCGGTTTTCAATCTAACGCGTCGGAGCTTTTATCGGTCAAAGGGAGGAAGGTGGCTATTTTTTTTAACAAAAGGGAATTCCCCAAAGTTGGTTCGAGCCTTATGAATGATAGGGCAGTTTTGTTACTTTACCTCCACGCGTGTAGGTATAACTTGCTCGTAAATGTACGTACCAATTGTGAAATGCTTTTCGCTGTCGTACACAGGCCACAATGAGAACTCAAAAAATGATCATCACAGCAACGAGAACGATGATGTGAATTTAATCTCATTTTATTAATGTAAAACATTTACCTGTGAACAAAGCTCTCTGTTAACTTCCTTAACGGTAAACGGAAAACAATTGCAAACTATTCTCATCTGCTTAAATACGAGACTAACGAAGGGAAGTCCACGCGTGCAAGCTCAGCGAGCTTTAACAAGTACAGGTTTACAGATACGTGTGTCTATAGGCGTAGCTTTACATTTCAGTTATCAAAGTGACATCACCGATCGTCTCGTTTCTTCTTCTTCGTGACCGTTTAATTAAATACGCTCTAGTCGTCCCGTCAGCAATCTTTTTCCGCCACCACATTTTCGTTTCCTTTCTATCCTCTCCTTCTGCTATCAGCACAGCTAAACGCGTGCAGATTTGCAATACGTGCAGTTATACGTTTCCTGTCTCCCTGATGCCAACGTCACTTCGGGAAGTGCAAGTGCACAAAAAGTACATATGCATACACACCTACACATGAATATATTACGTCGCATCTTTGTATACCGCAAGTTAGTACGTGAACCGTAAGCACAATGTTTTGCGATGGCGATCCTTTGGTGATTTATTTAATTTTTAAAGGACATTTTTACGCCCAAGGCTTGAGCCACGTAACAAAATTAATCGACCCAACTGTAGGGTTGAATACACTCTTGTAACATTGACGCGTTAAAACAATTTGAATTTTCCGCTTCTAAGTTTGTCACTCTCGTTTGAAACTCGCGCTATCTCTCGTCCACCGCGCGAAGTTATGACACTCCTCCGATACCGACTATTCATGAAAATAAGAAGACATCGACGTGTGCATTACACACATGTACATATATGCACACGAGATGCTCGTGCGCAAACGGTAAAAAAAAAGGAGTTGTCAGCTGTGGGGGGGAAGCAGAAAGAACATCGTCGCAGTTGAAAGGTAAACGCGCAGCGCGAGGTTTCCTCGGCACCGCCGTCCGTTCGATTGCTCTTCTCCTCGCACCCACCATTAACCGCGTTCCACTGTGCTCTCTTCGCGCGTGTCAATACTTACGTCAATCACACCGGCACAAGTGCTCTAAGGCGGCCAGGGCACGGCAGAAGAGTCGAAGTTGACCCGCAACGATAAGAGCGCGCACTGATAAGGCTGCGTTACCTTTTTTTCGCCTGTTCGCAGATAACGCTGAGGCGGAGGTCGGGACAATCCGAGGTTGCGAGAAGGCGCGAAAATGACGACCCCAGAGACCGAGAACATCTTCGTCTTCGTTCCGAACATCATTGGTGAGTTTTTTTTCCCTCCCTCGAGTTCTTTATTTACGTCTACACAGGGTCTGAGGACATTCAGAAGGGGCCACTTTGTTTCTTGTTTTCTTGCCTCAAAGGCTTGTCAAGGTCAAGGACTTGGTGGATTCATGGGCGGGACGGAGGATAAAAATTTTCAACACTAAGATAGAGCTAGCGCGAAAATGCGGACGCATTGTATATGACAAACAGAGACATGCCTCCCGGAGTATTTCAAAGTCTTCGTTTTATTGATTAAGTGTAACCCCTGGAGAGTTATTGCTTTATGCAATAGCTTTCAAAGTCAATTGTCATCGAGCTTGTTGTGTTAATACGTCGGAACGATGTTAATATTGTTTTCATGTAATGAAATGAAGAAAAAAAGAAACAATAGTAATTTTGCAATTTTTTGTGTGCAGGCTACGCAAGGATTATTTTGGCCCTCATATCGTTCTATTACATGCCAACGCATTATGCAGTGGCCGCTTGGTGTTACATTATTAGTGCACTGCTGGATGCTTTTGACGGACACGCGGCCCGGTACTTCAACCAGAGCACCAAGTTTGGAGGCATGCTAGATCAGTTGACAGACAGGGCAGGCACCATGTGCTTGTTGGTCACGTTGGCGCAATTTTATCCCGAATACACGTTCTGGTTTCAGATCAGCATGACCATCGACATTGTGTGCCACTGGATTTACTTGCACACGTATGTGTTTTATTTAACTATCTGCATTATCAGTGCTATTTAAAACCGATTATTTATTATTTTGTACCAGTTGATGAGTATAATGCATGAAGATTAATTTAATTGTTATCAATGATAAATTTCTATTTCAGAACTGTTCTACAAGGAAAAACGAGTCATAAATTTGTAGACATGTCTGAAAATCCTATCATGAGCGTGTACTACACTAATCGTACAGTTTTGTTCTTTATGTGTGCTGGCAATGAAGCATTTTATTCAGCTCTGTATCTTTTGCATTTTACCGAAGGACCAGTGTGTAAGTTTCAATGATGCTTATTAATATGCATAATATTGAATTAAAGCTATTAAAAATGTGGTGTAAACTAACCATTTGTTAATCTTTTTGTTACAGTTGTTGGTATTAGTCTATTCAGAGCTATAGCCTACTTGTCAGCACCAGTGGCAATTGTGAAAGCATTAATTTCTCTCCTTCACGGTTATGTGGCATGTATCAATTTAGGTATAATTGACGTGAAGGAAAGGGAGGCTTTACGTAAAGTAAAATAATTTATTTTATCTTAATCATTTCCAACTTGCTAGTCAAGATGATGAATGTGATTGTAACAATCTTTCCATATTCTATTTTATGTTAATACTCATGTCTTCTCGAGTAGAACAGATAATGATAAGTCCCAAATGTATGTTTAATGTGTTTATGATCACCAAGTCAATTATAATTTCTACCTATCTATTTTGAATTTTGATGCTGGGCATCAATGATCTCAAACAAGAGTAAAAATCTCAAACAAATGGTTCTCGTAATATTAGTTGCAATATTTAATCTGCTTCTGATAATTGTGACTACAGCATAATTAAGAGATCACCTTCATAAATAATTATTTTTTAAGTAGCTGTACTTATCATGTTGGACTATCAATAGCATTTAACTTAAAATATATACACATATAATATATTTTAATATAAAAAAGAAAAATGGCTGTTAGCTGTTTAAGCAAGTGATACTATAGTTTGCATACTGAGTACATTCAAAGACTTGTTAATTACGTACTGTATTGATGATTCATAAATTAAAAATACAAATGGATTTAGATTTTGAAAATTACACTACAGAAAACACTATTTTTTCACATTTTTTCTACAATATTTTATAATATAACCAACAGTTTCTTTAGAAAAACAGTCTTTGAGGTACTTCAATCATCATTAATTTATTTTTCCATTGACATGTAAGGGAGTTCTCTATTTCGATGTATTTTTTAAATCATTCAAAATTGTCTGACATTACTCAATAAAATGATATACTTCATGGTACTTCCAATAATTATTATTTTACCAACCATTCAAATATTGCCTGTCTCACTTTTATTTTATTCTTTTATAGATAACTTGGAAAAAGTCACGAGTTTCTGCGTTTATAGTAGATTGACAATGTAACGTATGAAAAAACCCTAATCTGCATTATGCCGTTTATTTTTGTACAGATAAAATCGAGATTCTTTGACAACAAACGATTTGCTAAAAATAACCCATTCATTAGATAATGTCTTATCAAAAAAAAGCACCATAAGGCCAGTACTTATTTTGAAATACACCAAGAAAATACTAAAATTATGATACCCCATGTTTACATAGATTCAACAGGAACTGCAAAAACTCTCAAAATTTCGATTTTCAAACGTCAATTCGTCGAAATTAGCTCTGACAAAAAAATTCCGATACTCTCGAGAATGAACGTTGAACGCGAAGCAAAACAAATTACGTAAAGTTGCATGTATCATTGGCGTTCCACAAAGAAAAAAAAAGAAATAGAAACGCCAGACCCGACAGAAGGAGATTAGCAAAACATTAATTACACCAGCAGCAGCTCCGGACTGGGACTTCGTTTACACACTTGGTCTTCGAGAACGTAAAGCTCGTTTAGTAGAAAATTTGGCTATGTCATTAAAAACTCTCTTGTTCTCTTTTTTCGCCCATCATTAATATCATAACTGCTGATAAGAAATTACACGCGTTTACAATAAGAGTATGCATGCATGAGTATTTAGTAACGAAAAAAACAATAAGGTGCTGCTGCTGGTGCGGCCCAGTCGGTACCATCTCATCTGGAGTGTTACGATGACGAAAACGAAAGACCCGGGTAGCCGATCAACTTCCTGGCACCCTACTACCGAGATATAACCCCGAAAACAAACAATAGCCACGAGCCGAGGAAAAACAAACAGCTTGGAGAAAGTTGTTGGAAAAAATAAAAAAACTAACCTCCAAAAGTCCGCGAGCCTTAGGTTGCACTACTTCTCTGCAGCAGCTAAGTTCTGTGTCCTCTGGGAGGAAACCACTGCTCTGGTATTCCTCTTCAAGCCTGTCTTGTTCTCCTCTGTCTGAACCAAACTGCTACAACAAGTGTGTGCGCTCTCACTGATGATACTTATTCTACTGTTGCTGCTGCTAGGTATAGTTCTCTGTACTGTTTGCCTTCAGGCGGGCCTTGGTTGATGCCAGTCACGTTATTTTCTGCAGAACGCCATGTTTCTACGGCTTTGCTTTTGAACCCATGTTGTTGGCTATAACGTAATGTACCTATTCTATCTGTGTATATATATTTACGGTACCTCTCGATATTTAAAATGTAAAAAAATTTCAACGATATAATGATTTATTATGGATGAAAAACAATAATTTAAATTTACGTACATCAAATCTGATTACTAACCCAAACAGATCACTCGAATCAACTTACCAATAATAGTTATTATTTAGTTATGATTGAACAGGTTACTTAATTATTACAGTATTCGTAAAAAATTCAAATTAGCCATTTACCGATATTACATCGATGAAATGACACAAATAACCAATTATTGATATCAGTCTATAAGTATTGAGGCTTTCTTTCAGGTCACCACCGACAATTATTGTGTCCAAAGCTAAAAATCAATCAACGCCATCTCACGCGGCTGATTTCGTACTAAAAAGTACAACCCACAGTAGGTAAGAGTTCCTATCATATCGACCATGAGTATGGCCTTTTCGTTGACTGGCAGATATATATATATATACATCCTTGAACTTTTCGAAAAAAAAATATACATATATTTACATTGGATTTTTTCATTCTGGTAACGAGAGCGTGGACCGCGTTGCACGGTGTAAGATATACGTGAAGTGATGTGCAGTAATTATAGTAATCATTACTTAAATAGTGCTATATGGTCGATTTTATTAAACCATGTAAGTAGAATATCTATACTTTTGGAGGTCAATTTTCGAATAAAAAATAAAAGGTAAACTTGCCGCAAACAGCATAGAAAATCTTAACTTTACATTTTCTATCTGCAACATTAGTTGCGGCTGGTTTATAATTGATTAGTAGTTGATTATATGGTTCTACTGTAAGTAGTAATAATTATTTGGATCAGCGCCATCTAGCGTTGCGGATTTCTGAACTAAAAAGTGGCCCTAAACTTTTCAGCCAGAGCTTTAGCGCGTAGAGCCATTTAGTTAATTATAAACCAGCCGCAACTCATGTGGTAGCTATAAAATAGAAAAATAACGATACGTGTGTTTTTGGCGGCAAGTTAACAATCTATCTTTTGCTCAAAAATTTATCTTTAAAAGTATAAATACATAGGAGGTCGATTTTTTGTAGAAAATAAATTGTTAACTTGCCGCCAAAAACACACGTATCGTTATTTTTTTATTTTATAGCTTCATCATGAGTTGCGGCTGGTTTTTAATTGATTAAATGGCTCTAATCCTGATTGCTCTGATTCAGAATTTTAGGAGCCACTTTTGGCCAAAAAATAAAGAACGCTAGATGGCGCTGATCCAAATAGTTATTGCTATTTACAGTAAAGTCACTTTAATAATTATAAACCAGCCGCAAATAATCTTATAAATAGAAGATAAATAGTTGACATTTTTTATGCTTTTTGCGTCAAGTTTACAATCTATCTTTTATCAAAAAATCGATCACTACAAGTAAATAAATATTCTATTTATCTTATACGGCTTATAAAATCTACCATATTTACAAAATTACAATACTTTAGACTTTTTACCATTAACTCACGGAAGCACAGCCCTTTAATTTTATAGTTTAAATAAACAGTTAACTTATACAATACGTACATACCAAGATTTGGGTTACAGAAATCTTGAACAACGTTTAAATAGATACATAAAGTAATAAGTCCAAAAGAGACAACTGAAGAAAAAAGGCTTAAAAAAGAAGTTCAGTCACACAGGAAGAGTCTCCTAAAAATGGAGCATTGGATCTCACTTAATGGGAGTTGTTTCAGATATAAAGAATGTGAAAATTCATAATTTTATGCTAAGGATTTGTGTTTATTTGGATAATAAAGAAAATTTGTTCATCAAACATAGAGCTTTATTTGTTTTACATTTAACAAATAATTGATGATGATTATACAAGCAGCTCTTAAATCTTATTGTAAGTCTGCAGAAGCAGATAATTCTTTCCATCCTACCTTGATTAATTTTTTGATTTAATGGCATTGTATGTACACTGTTAAATGATTTCAAATATTAAAAGTTAACAAGTTATTTTATATAATAGATTCATTTTGATTAATCCTTAAAAATATTGTAATGGTTTATGTTTGATTAACTGATTATTTAAACTATAAAATTAAAGGGCTGTGCTTCCGTGAGTTAATGGTAAAAAGTCTAAAGTATTGTAATTTTGTAAACATGGTAGATTTTATAAGCCGTATAAGATAAATAGAATATTTATTTACTTGTAGTGATCGATTTTTTGATAAAAGATAGATTGTAAACTTGACGCAAAAAGCATAAAAAATGTCAACTATTCATCTTCCATTTATAAGATTATTTGCGGCTGGTTTATAATTATTAAAGTGACTTTACTGTAAATAGCAATAACTATTTGGATCAGCGCCATCTAGCGTTCTTTATTTTTTGGCCAAAAGTGGCTCCTAAAATTCTGAATCAGAGCAATCAGGATTAGAGCCATTTAATCAATTAAAAACCAGCCGCAACTCATGATGAAGCTATAAAATGAAAAAATAACGATACGTGTATTTTTGGCGGCAAGTTAACAATTTATTTTCTACAAAAAATCGACCTCCTATGTATTTATACTTTTAAAGATAAATTTTTGAGCAAAAGATAGATTGTTAACTTGCCGCCAAAAACACACGTATCGTTATTTTTCTATTTTATAGCTACCACATGAGTTGCGGCTGGTTTATAATTAACTAAATGGCTCTACGCGCTAAAGCTCTGGCTGAAAAGTTTAGGGCCACTTTTTAGTTCAGAAATCCGCAACGCTAGATGGCGCTGATCCAAATAATTATTACTACTTACAGTAGAACCATATAATCAACTACTAATCAATTATAAACCAGCCGCAACTAATGTTGCAGATAGAAAATGTAAAGTTAAGATTTTCTATGCTGTTTGCGGCAAGTTTACCTTTTATTTTTTATTCGAAAATTGACCTCCAAAAGTATAGATATTCTACTTACATGGTTTAATAAAATCGACCATATAGCACTATTTAAGTAATGATTACTATAATTACTACACATAAACATAACTGTACGTACATCTTTCACCGTGCTCTCTTTACCAGAATGATAAAGTCAGAGGCTGTGTACTTACTCGTATTACTCGTACGTGTTTTTGTGCACGCCACTCATACATAGAGATATTGTAGATAGAGTAGGCAAGCCTGTAAGGGGATTCCACTTAGTGGAAGCGTTAACACGTTAAAAAGAGATGCAACATTGAGCTATTTTTTATCTCTCTCTCTATGCACTCATACTTGTTCATGTGCGTGCTTTAAGCACGGAACTTATGCGTTTTTATACAGATGTCGTGATCGGGCTTCTGTACGTTTCAACTGTTTCAAGTTTCAAGTAAACTGTATACATGATTAATAGTTTTTTTTTAATAACAGTTAAGAGTTTTTGAAAATGAAATAATAAAACTTCTGAGTAATTTTGCAAGATATTTTATTACGAAAATATATATATATTTTTTTTAACCAGCATCAAATGATGAACTAATAAATAATGATAACGTTACTTTCATTTTCGCAAGTAACAAAGCTTATCGTGTATTTTTAAGATTTTTCATTTCATCATCGAATCATAAATAAATATTCATTTTAACATTACAATGAAAAAGAAATACCTATGCTTTGCAAAGACAGTGATATGCTTTGTTTAACATATTTTTATAAATTGAAGTGTCAGTACATAAAGTCATGTTCTACTTACTCCTTATGGCTTTACAATAAATATTTTACAAATGACGTCTTGCAAAGAATTCGTACAAAATAAATTTTTTTACCATCAGAGTCATATTTAATAGAAAAAACTATTGTAACAAAAAAGTTATAAAGAAATCTTGCATGTAAATTTGTGCCTTAAAAACATTGTCGAACTTTTATTGAAAAAACATTTCACATTAATACTTAAAAGTGTATCAATTATTCACGTAATACAACGATTTCTTCATTTTCATACAGTGCATCAGTTCTTGAAGGATAGACTGATTTCATATTACCTTCCAAGTCAACAATTTTCACTTGCTCAACATACAATTCATTAAAACCATTTTCCGAGTTGCTATTTTCGCACCCCAGTCCTTGGACTACCAATTCTTTTAAGAATTCATCCAAAACTTTTCTAAAACATAAATATCGTGTATAAATAAATTAATTTTATTTCATCAAGTATATATACTTGATAAGTAAGCTGTTTAAAAAAATGAAATTAATACGTACTTGCACATCTGTTGACCAGTATTACTTGTTACTTCAACAAACATTGTTTTAGTATTAGACGACATTTTTGTAATATCACTGTTTGTTATTGGTGGAAAAGATATTACTTGATCTTTGGAATCTAATAAACATGGGTAAACGGGCTTTCCCTCCAAAAGATACAAATATTTATGTATGCCAGAATAAACGTTGCGTTTTTTTTCTTTTCGAAGATTATCAGCCTCAGTTTGCAGTTGCTGAAAAAGCTCAGCAGCAGTTATTGTTTTAGTCCTCATCAGAGGTTTAATTTTAAACTCATTTGGAGCTTTAGCAGTGTAAGTCAAATCACCTGTAAAATAAAAAATTTTTGAATCCAGTGGACTAAAGAAACAGTTGAACTAATAGGTACTAGCCACATACCAGCAGTAAGTAAATCAAAATCATGAGTAGCCAAAGTTGCTGCATTTCTTTTTTCACAGATACCTTCATGAAGTCTAGTTTGCAACTGAATGAATTTTTTAAACATCTCGTCTGTAAAGGTTAAATTTTTGACAATACATCCAAGGATGTAAGGTCTGACCTTTTTTACATCTTCTGTAACTTTTATTACAGGAATACTGTCAGATACTTTTAAAATGTGCAACTTGTGAGCAGCTTTTTCAACGGCTGCATTCAAACTTTCATTTTCAGAGATTCCTCTATTCTTTTTGCCTTTCTTCGATTTAGCATTGCTAGAAACAGCTACATTGCCGACTTTAGTACAGTGCTGATGCACATAATCTAAAACTTGCTTCATACGACCTTGATCAACCAGCTTTGACAATCGTTTGTCTGCTAGTTTATTGCCCTTTAAATTTAAATCTTTTAATTTGATACAGTCTGCTAATTCACCTGGCACCACTATATTAGGAAGTTGTTACTTATTATTTACTCTAACATGAAAATTACTTCATTGTATACTCAAAACCACAAGTTACCTGAAATTTGATTGTTACCCAAATCCAAAAGTTTCAACAAAGGCAAAACACAAATGTTTGATGGGATTTCCTTGATTAAATTATCGTTTACTCTGACTTCGGCAAGATGAACCAACTCGGGGTAACAGATATCAGGAAAAACTTCAAACCTATTGTTGGACAAGTCCAAACTGCAGAGCTTGACATTTGATACTTGGGATGGCAAAAACCTGAGCAAATTTAAGCCAAGATTCAAGGTCATCAGTTGTGGCAAGTTTTCGAATTCCGTAGGTAGTTCTTCAAGTTTATTTCTCGAACAATCTAGCACTTTGAGCTTGCTTAGCTTATCAATACTGGAGGGTAGTTTTTTGATGGCGTTTGAGTGAAGCACGAGATTGGTCAAGTTTTTTAGATTCCCAATTCCGTTAGGTACTATCTCGAGACCAGTATGATTGATATTGAGGTAATTTAAGCCACTTAGCTCAAAAAGTGCCGGATCAATGCCACTGTCTGCTATTTTTTGTGATACATCTGCACCGGAGAGTACCAGCTCGTGTCGGTTTTCCTTCACAACTTGCGTGATTTCGTGCCAAGTTTGAGCCATTTCACTGAATGTCGATTTAAATGCCGTAAGTTTGACAGTTCCAACGTCGAATGACAAAGGTAAACCTTTGTGATGGCCCTTGTTTACCCTAGGGATTTGAGGTTATGTGGCAGCGACACATGCGTCTGAAATAAAAATATAATCATATCAATCAATTTATCTGCTGCTAAACAACAAATACAAAACTCTTTCACAACAAATGAACAAACCTGTGCACACGGGATAAATGGCATTCGCGTGCACTGATTTTGCTAAGTGTAAAACTCGCGTAACTCGCGTTGTTATTGCCGGCAATAAAATATATACGCGCACTATTAGATTTATATACAATATATACACACATCATATAATATATACCTATGTAATCGGTGCATCGTTATTTCAAAATTACGAGACAATCGTGTTTTTCTTCGTAGATTTTCATTATTATTTTCTTACTAACACTTCAAAAATAAAAACTCAATAAACATTGTTAAACTCAACAGACAACAGAATCATAGAATTATACATCTTTCAAAAAAAAAAAAAAAAAAAAAAAAAAAAAAAAAAAAAAAAAAAAAAAAAAAAAA